TCCAGGAGGGGACCCTGTTCACCAAGGACTGGGGCTTCAGGCTCGAAGATGTGAAGAACCACCGCGTCCTGCTGTGGTGGGGGACGGAAGACGAGAACGCTCCCATCGACATGGGCCGCCTCATGGCGCAACGCTTGCCTAATGCGGAGCTGATTGAGTTCAAGGGTGACACCCATTACACACTGATTCCGAAGCGATATCCGGAAATATTGGCCCGGCTCATCAGAGGGGAAGAGCGTGAAAGACGGAGTCCTGTAGGTCGCCGTGTCTGAGTTCGCTTCTTCGATGTTCTAAGCTACCGGGAGTCTAGATCCTGGCACGAGATAAGAACCTCGCCTTCTCCTGGAGTGATGTATGATTGCTGCAGTCCTAAGCGAGCATGAGACACTTTCAGCCTGTCCTGGTGCGAAGAGTAAGATAGATGGCTATCATAGATGGCTATCTAGGCCGGAAAATTATTTACCCGAGCAGCTGGTCACGCTTCGGGCTAACTTCCTTCGTCCTCCTCTGTTCACCGCGTGCAACAAATATGTATCATGTATCCATCAACCGCTTGTGTTTCATAGATTACGGCGCTGACCGATTCAAATAGACTTGGTTTTATTTAGGTCCCGCATGCTGTTCTCTGATTCTTCTCATCTTGAGCTAAAAGACGACCTCCCCTGGGCTGGTGAGATCGGGTATGAATCTGTATTGCTGAAGCAGGCGAGTCATCTGTCTAACTAGAGTATATGACTGCTACAGCCTCAGACTATTTTCCCTTCTATGTCTAGGTTGGCTTGTCCAGTGAGCTGGCGCGGCAACGAAACAAAAGACTAGAAGAGAAGGCGCTTGGAGATGACTCATTTCTCTGATTGACAAACATCGCCCTTTGGTGGCATTCGTATTCCTGCTTTCCCACGTTCTTGCACTCTCCACTCGGTGCCTGACAAAGAAAGTCCATCTTTGCAAACGATTATCCACGAGATACAGGTTTTGGTATTTCTGGCTCCCCACGAAAAAAACCTAAAAATGGGAGGTCTCGCTTTCGCGGACGAGCAGCCACCGCTTCACACGCCGCGCATGCCACCCGCTGTGTACGGTTCCGCGCGTGACCATCTCCTCAGCACGCTCCGCAGCTTCTATGCCCGAGCCGAGTGCCCGATCGAAGCACCAGGCAAGACCGACTACGGCGACATCGACATCCTGGTCGCCGAACCACGCCACGTCTTCGACGCCCATCACATCTCCGCAGCAACCAAAGCGGTGAAACACAAGAAGCAAGCCGGCAGCCAGACAACTCACTTCGCCATTCCATGGCCCAAGCCACCACCGAAACCTCCAGCCAAGGACTCCGCAGCAGATGCCGCCCCAACCACCGACGACGACGACGGAGCCAAATACATCCAACTCGACCTCCACCTCTGCCACCCCTCCTCCTTCCACTGGGAGCTCTTCCACCAAGCGCACGGCGACTTATGGAGCATCATCGGCACGCACATGCGCCGTCTGGGCCTCACCGCCAACAACTCCGGCCTCTACATGCGCATCGCGGAGATGGAAGCGCGCAACAAGAACGCCGCCCGCATCCTGCTCACCACCTCCCCGGCGGACACCCTGCGATTTCGGACGAGAAGGCGTACTGGCGCCGGTTCGAGAGCGCGGACGCCTTGTTTGCCTACGCGGCCAGTTGTCGCTTTTTTGATCCGACGAGCTACAGGGACTGGGAGGCGGCGAAGGGGGACCTGAAGGCCAACGATCGCGCCAGGGCGAGGAAGAGGCCGCTTTTCCGGTCGTGGTTCGAGGCGTATCTGCCCGCGCATGTGGATGATGAGCCGGTGGATGCCGTGGCGGCGGTTATGTCCCGCGAGGAAGTGGTGGACGAGGCGAAGAGGTGGTTTGGGGTGGGCGAGGCGTATGACGAGAGGCGGAGGAGAGACCTTCAGGAGATCAACAGGGAGAAGATGTGGACGCAGATCAGGAAGGAGTCGGGCATTGCAGAGGACAGCATTGGTGCTGTGGTGCGGGGGGTCAAGCGCGAGGTTGTGGCTGCGGAGGAGGCAGAGCAGGGAGTGCATCTGACCACCCTGCAACGAGCTTATACACACAGTGATTTCGATACCGCCGTGCAGTGGGTGAGGGATAACTGGAGAGAGATCGAGGAAAAGCAACGCGCTTACGAGAAGGAGAAGAGCACGATGAATCTGTTGGCCAAGCTGGACAGAATGAGAGCAGAAGGTAAAGCTGACGATAGCACCAGGCTTGGGAAGGCTAAGAAGCAGCTGGCACCGGACGCAGCGAGCCAAGAAACAGGCCTCGATCTGAACGGCGCGTGATAAAACTATGAAGCTCAATTCGCAAAACTCAAAGAATATTGTCGGCGCGGTGCCTCCCATGCGCCACAGCCATGCTTCATCTGAATATTGGTCGCAATGCTTAGACGGCAGTTAAGGAGCAACCTGCTCATGCAGGGGATCTTCTTCCTCCTCGAAACCCAAATCGACCACATGCGCTTCCCCAGCATAACCCTCATCAACTGCGTTGCCATCGCCGTCGCGAACCATAGTGACCTCTCCCCCAAACGCTTTGATCTTCGCTTGGGTCATTTCGTACACATACTGCCCGAGATGCTCAACACCGTCCATCTCGACACCCTCAACCTCATCATCGAGTAGCCGTTGTGTCGGATACATCTCCCCAGTGGTCAGGAGCAGCTTTGATGGTCTTCTCTCGAGGATCTGCATCGCCGGTTTCATCTCAAAGCAGGATCCAAAAAGATCTCTTCTACCGAGAATATACAAGCCAAGCCGAGCTCGGGAGAGAGCGACGGTGAGACGACGCACGTCGCGGAGATAACCAACAGACTTGGTTCGTGTCAACGAGAGGATAATATAACCGTTCTGTTCGCCTTGGTACTTGTCCACCGTAGACACCATTCTTGGCAGTCCGAATAGACTGTTGCCCGTGCATCTGTGGGCCAGCACATCTCTGATCAGCGCTCGCTGGCCTGCATAAGCTGTGAGGATCGAGATATTACGCGCCGGATAACCAAGCAGGCGCATGTACTGAAACAAGGCGACAGCGTATTCGGCTTCACCGAGATTCTGGATAAAATGAGGCGATGGTTCTCGCTCACCTTGACCCTGGTAGTCTGGTACGTCGATGAATTGGTAGTCGTATTTGAACCCGGCGTTGGCTCGCGCGAATTTCGGGAGTTGGTTCAGATGAGGGAGGTTCGTGAGGGATGGATATCGCCATTGGAAGAGTTCAGCTATAGAGGGCCGACATCGACCTTGCTGATCCAGGTTGATGGTAGGAACGCCTAAGCGGACAAGTCGAAGGAAAAGTGACTGCTCAAAATTGGCGTACTGTCGAAAGGCCAGATTCTGGATGACTGGGGAATTCTGCAAGTGATCGCCAATCAAGACAATCCGCTTCAGAGGCAACTCACCGCTCTGAGAATCAGGGTTTTGCATAGCGCAAGGCACGAAGGACTCAATCTCGGTGATCTGGGCTGCTTCTTCCATGATCAGGCTGTCACAGTGGAAACCAAGGCTGGCGATCTCAGCTCGTCTGATCGAGGCATGGGTAGATGTCATGGCGATGATGCGCGCCTCTTTCACAAGCAGATAATTCGCTTTATCCCTAGGTTGACGAAGGATTTCAAACGGGCGAATGGCTTCAAGCTCAGTGAATATCCGGGAAATGTGGTATTCACAGCCTGCCGCAATGGCAATGAGGTCTTCAACAGGTTTGTCGGGAGAAAAGAGTGGTTGATTTGGTGCATTGGAAAAATAAATATGAAAAGGAAAATTTTGGATGATGGAGTCAGAACTCGCGGCAGGGGAGTGAGCTTGATCCCAGAAGCGAGACCAGGCGGGTTGAATGTACACCTTGTTGAAGTAATCAGCGGTTTCACAGGAGTTGCCGTGCGCTCCTTCAACGTTCATTGATGCTGCCAGCCGATCAACCTCGGCCAAGAAACCAGATCGGTTGTCCATGAAGGATTCAACGCGCCCATGCTTGCTGAAAGATGCTTCGGTGTCAAGATCTTCTTCACCATGCCCAAGCCGGAGCAAATGGCGGCTGTCAATGTCTAGCGCAACAATTTTCTGGAAAAGCTGGTTAAGAGCTTGATTGCTGTGCGCAACAAGGAGAATTCTCTCCCTGGGGAAGTTGTGATAGAGCAGATTAATAATTTGAGTTGCTACATCAGTTTTGCCTGTGCCAGGAGGCCCAACGACGACGCTCAATCCCGGCTGCGTGCCAGATGTGATTGCTTCTGTCTGTGCTGGAGTGAAGCGTATCTTGTTCAATCGAGGAGCATCCATTGGATATGGACCAGTTTTGGGGGGGGTGTATGAGGAGACCTTGATCGGTGCTGTTGCGAAATTATCTGATTCCATCTGCTCTCGCCGACGTTTTCTGGGATTCGTTGGCTCAGTCTCACTGGGCTCATCGAACAATTGAAGAACATAAGGTGGTGGAAAGATAGAGCCCAATTCTGCCGCTGGCTGCAGAGTTCTCTCCGGAAAGCTTTGTTCTAAATGTTGCCAATCCAGGAAAGTGTCTCGGTAGTCCAGTGACCGGACCTTGTTCGACAAGTGAGTATAATGCGAAGAGCAAGGGTCTCCATATCCAAGGAACGAATCCCGGAACCAGGTTGGTAGGTGCGTATTGGCAGCAACCAGTGATTGTATAGTGTCTAGCGTGGCCTTGAAATTGTTCTCTTTCCTATTTCTTCGCACGATGACGTTCAATGACTGATAAATATCTGGCTTGCCTTGGGCGACCCGATCCAGGTCTCCTTTGTACTTGACTCTATCAAGATTCACGAGAAGACGTCGCTGGGCAGGCCGAGCAACAGAGCCATTTGTCTGCGGCACTTGCGCGTCTCTCAAATGCCTGCCATTTCCGTCGAGTACTTGAACAACCTCTGCGGCCCGCGCATACTTGATTTTCCAGTCATAATCAGGGTGGATAGTTGAGTCGCCATTCATGGAGATAGGTGAATGGTCGCTGCTCTTAACGCACAGCAAAAAAACCACATCGTTTGGTCGAAGATCATCCCAGCCAACCCGCGCATTATTGTTCAGATGATTCACATCGAGTATGATCTCTGCACGGACGAAGGCGGGCTTGCTTGAACCTACCTGTGGTTGCGCAACCTCGATGATTGCAGGTTTCAAAATTGGCACTCCCATTCTCGAGAACCCATCATATCGAAGAGAGCTTGCGTCAGCACCCGGCCGTGGCCGCATCCTCCTTACAACGCTCTCGATGTCTTTTCGGATTTCAAAAAAGGCTTCGGAACGATATAGAAGAAATGAGCGCCAGAGGAAGTCGCCTAGGTTCAGATACTGCAGATTGAATTTTGGAATTGGCAACGGCTGGGACCCATCATATTCTTCTGTCCGCAAGAGAGATTGATCATATAGATCAGCTTCGGTGGGCAACGTGGAAAAATCTGACACCATACTTTGGAAGTCAACTGGGCGTTCAAAAGCAGCAAGCAAGGTTTCCAGGTATAAGCGTCGGCCAATCGGGACGTTGGCCTGTCTTGGATATTGTGTACGCAGCTGTAGCAGTGAGCACAATCGTTCAAGTTCTTCCTCCGACAATGCTCCTAAATGTGACTCAAGACCGGATCTCTCAGCAATAGACGCATAGTTGGAAAAGGCAAGAACTTTGAGTTTGGCTTCAAAGTGTTTCATTGCCACCCTTTGCAAGTTCGACAGGGCATTACAATGTGACTCGTAACTGGTCTTGAGCTTGGACGAATGTCCACTGTAGTCATCGACCACAAAGTCAACAAAGTGCTGCAAAAGTAAATTTTGTTCCCTGATCAGCGAGTTTCGCTCGTCTTCAAACAACCTTGATAACTTGAGAATAGGCAGCAGATTGAGATCCTTAATGACAGTAATGACATATCTCCGCGTGGGTAGTTGACTGACGAGGTCAATCAGGAACTCGAGCAACCGCTGAGAGTAGAGTGCGCTTTCAGTAACACTGCCAGTGTCATTCACCTGACGAAGGAAATCTAGTAGAAGTGTGTAGAGCCACGAGCGGTCAAAGCGCAGTTTGGCCTTAGACGGGTCGTCCGCTGCTTCATAGCGTTTATGAGCAGCACGCCACGCCTTCCGCGCAACGGCGCTTTGGTCCAGAACTTTATCTCGTACGGCTTCGGAATGAAGATTGTGCCATATTGATATTGAGACTAATGGTGCACTTTCCTTGCGGACTATCGGCTTCTCTAGGGATTGGAAGGCAACGACCACAAAAGATAGAAGCGACAATTTTGCGAATGACGGGAGTGTACTGTCAAGATTCAAAGAGAGGACCCGATGAAACAAGCTCGAAAATTGTTCAGGGCGATCAACGAATATATCTTTGCACCTGGTCAGCAACACAGCCGCAGCTCAGTACACAGGCTCAGACTCGCCCCATATGGGGACATGTGCCCGTTGTTTGACACCCACGAAAGTCGCAATGAGAATGATAATATGATTTGAGGCATCATCGGTGTAGGCAGGCCAGAGATACCTTGACCGTCGTTAGCATAATGCCCGCTTGTTTGATGCTGTTGACCTATCACCATACCGTTCCAGTATCTGGAGGCTTTCGAGGGAAGAGAGCGACCGCCAATTGAACGCTTCGCCCTCAAGACGATCCCAGATCTTGCTCTTGACGATTTCTGGTCTTGAATTCGGAGCATTCAATCCGCTCAACCACAAGTCTTCGGCCAACTGCTCCCAGCTTTCACCCGCCGGCGCGCCAGTCATGTTGGAGGTCGAGCTTTCCAACGCAGGCGCCATTGCTGGGCGCAGCTGTAAACCCATCATCTCCAAGCACCCCTCGAGCACGGCAGGAGAAGAGGTGAATGCCAAGATCTACAATTTCTGGTTACTGTTCAAATCTCTAGCTGCCGTATCGGTAATTACCGAGCCGTCGACCCAATCGGGCAAGATGTTTATAATCCTTTGGCATTTCTTGTAGCATGAAACAGCCGCATCAGTTTTGGATCACATACAAAATACTTCCCCTTGACAGCCAGGCTACCTTGCAAACTCATGGCAACGCATTTGTTGCAGTCAGACATTGATACTAAGGGTTGTAGGGTCAGCTTCTTTTGTGGCCCTTTGCAATTTACAGACAGACTGCTTTTCACGTGTCTCATGGAGTCGCTATACGAATTCCACAGGATTGGTGTTACATACTCTTCTACTACATTGTCCACTGCATCCTGATCCCATCTCGGCCTTAAAAGCTGCAGATTTGCGCCTATGAACATATCATATACAAGATTTTCCATGTACTAGACGATGTACACTAGTTCCTACCTTGCTGGTACTTAGCCATCGCCATACTGCAGCGTGGCTATTGCGCATTTTGCAATATACATTACATCATGGGTACCAACCACATATATTCTGGCCGAAAGAATTATGAAGCGCGACCAGTTTCATCATTTCAAGCAAGGCACACTGGCTTTAGGAACGGCTGTGCTCTGCTCACTCATCGGCCTTTTTAATAGCAGCCCGGCCCTACATGGTGTGGTTCACCCGTCACTTGCTCGTCATGATATTTGTGCTACTAATCCATCCCGAAGAAAGTCTCAAAGGAGCTATCCGCGAGACTTTCAAGTAGGACAAAGCCTTGTCTTTTGTCGTACGCAACATGCTCTAGGTCACGCTATCCATATACAACCTCGAAGCTACGGACATGATCTAGGCGGGCTGACACACCCTCCTGCTAGGTCCAGTCCCCGGAACTTTTATGGTAGAAACGGGGCTATGCTGCACCTGACCTGGCTGTGGGGAACAGAAGTCCTTGTTTCGTCATGGTACAACAATGCTGTAGTGTACGTGACGGAAAACAACAGCAGCAACACGGGAAGATGTTACCAAAGAGCATGTCGTCTAGCTGATTGCACTTGGCAGACACTTTGGTGATGGCCCGCAAGGGATTTATTGATGTGTGGTCGATTCACTAGTACTTTTGTCTTTGATTTTCTGCAAGGCTTGCGTTTTGTTTTGCAATATTCTGTCATTTAAGGATCAATGAATACAAGATGCACCATCGTCCTACCTTTGCAGAGGGACCATATTACCTTTCCGATCTTGTATCCGCAGCTCCTAGTATGTCCTGCCACTGCCCACAGTAGATGTCGGTACAGAGTTGATTAACTTTCAGGCAATCTTGGAATGCTACTGCACCATGAGCATATTGGGGAAGCTCTAAGTCTTCAAAGAAATGTATACTTTAACAAATGATAGGCCTTTGTTATCACAGCAATATGCTGTCACTGAGACTCAAAACAAGAACGCAGAAATACCGCATTTTCAAACCAAATACTAGTACAGACGTATGGGCACATCCGATGTGCTTGACTCTACCGCCGCAATGTGCCTGCATGTCTCAATCCTCAAACATGCCGCCCACCCTGACACCTGTTCTGCCAACCAAATAGGCGTAAAAAAGTAAGAGATTACGCCAAATACTCTGCCAATACTCTGCGAATGGATTGGCGCGGTGCTGTGGGTACAACGGGTGGGAAACGCTGCTCTCCTTCTTGCCTTGGCTGCCTCCATCATTCTCACTCTCTTCAGAAATCGACGAGCTGCCAGAAATTTCTAGCTGGCTCTCATCTTCTTCTGGCTGGACGTTCTGTGCTCTCTGTCGGGACTTGGAATGATAAACTCCCAGATTCATGTTGTTCTGGTTGTTCTGCCCTCGACGTGGATCATGATATCCGACATCGATACGGTCTGTATCCTTTTCTGGAGAGTAGAACGTGCGGACAGCACCGGCCTTAATCTGGGTCGCCATTGCGTATGATTCAGAAGCGGAAATTCTAAAGTATTGTTCGGGCTTTGGAGCGGCAATTCCTCGTCATTGCGAAACATTTTCGGGTATTTCCACCGGCGCCTAATGCCATTTGGTGCTTGATCCACGGTCGCCGCCGCTTGGCTTCGTGTGACACGTCTCTGAGGATGATCGTCTGACAATCCTTGATTGGACCACTGAGGAACAAGAGACATTAGGACGGTCCTATCACCGAGGGTAGAACGAGGGCAAGAAGAAAGCTTACATATGATTCAACTGATAATCTCCTCTCACGATTATTAGCCATGAACGCAGTAGGCTAGTTTAGACAAGAGGGAAGGGTTGGTGAAAAGGATGGCGGACGAGGACAGAGCAGCATATGGAATATATAGGGAATAAGGAATGGCAATCTGAGACTGCTCATACTCATGCCCACCATCTCGCTTTGATCAATCAGACATCCTGGGATACATCCATGAAGTAGAAGTTAGGTTTCGGCTAGATGACACATCTCACAAGTCAAGTTTGCTTGGGATCGCAGAGACGGCTTCGATAAAAGAAACAATTGGAAGGAAGAAACAATGAAGATTTTAGAAGCGGTGTTGGATGAAAAAATGGTCTTCAGTAGAGAAACCGTTTTGACCAAAGACATGAAAGACAGTGCGTTCTAGCATGTAACCCTGGTTGCGCGGAAATTGCACAAAGTCGTTAGCAGCAGGATGATGGCTGTCAAACTGCTTTGTTGATGGAATTCAGACCGAGATCTGAGCCGTTAGCATTCTCCTAGATTGTTAGATAGATAATGTATGGAGTGAGACATCTTAGTTTCTTAAAGGGTACAAAGAATTTGAGACCACGAGCCAGTTGATGGCAAAAAACATTACGTGAGGCTCCTCCTCTCCGCCCAACTATCATCAATTCAATAAAACCAGGAGTATTACCGCATAGTCACTAAACGTAAGGTAGATCTGAAACCACCATGAATGATTGAGGCGGGTGTTTCTTCCGGCGCTGGTCTCATGAATTAGCAACTCCATAGAAGCTATGTCAAGTATGCAAGCGGAATGTCAGCCATTGCTTTGGATCGAGGGGCCTACTACGTACATTCTGATGCCGGATCCGGCGTGAATTTAATTTCGATGTCGACTGTTTGCGGCTCATGTTCTTTCAGACTGGAATGCTTTCGGACCCCTGGTAAATCACTTTCTTATTACCTAAATGGTCCGTCGATCAGGTTCAACTCAGAAATACTTACTTCACATCACATGCATAGTGGCATCCAAAAAGCTGTGCATATTACTCTCGGAGTCTTCTATCATGGCCGAGGAACCCATTGACCTAGGGTCCATTAAAGATAGATATTTCATCCCAGAAATAGACCAGAAACCATATGATATTTGGAACGAGGTGCTGCAGCCCGGCAGCCACGTCACGCCTGCCGAAGCAGCAAAACGAATCAACGAACTATTCCCAGTTCGGAAGCCAGAGGATACTGATAAAAGCTATGCTGAAAAGGCCGAGCATTTTTTGGAGTACTTTTGGGCACTGTTGATTCAGGTTGTTCAATTACTTCCTCACGAACATCAAGCACAAAAGAAAGTGGTATTGATCTTAGAAGAGCTGAGTCGCTTGCCGCCAATAACGATAACACGGCTCCAGCTAGTATGTTCTTTCTGTTTATGTCCAAGCGATAAATGCAGCTAACAAGAATGATCTAGCCAGAAAAACGTGTCTGGACCGACCTACCTTTCCTCGGGGTATGCATGAGAGATGACTGGGCTTGTAAGTACTCCATGCTATTTAGTTTCTACTGTCGTTCGTGTTGCGCAGGCCCAGCACTGATTTATTGGACTTCAACAGCGCCCACTTGGAAGGGTAGCCTCCCGGATAAGGATTCTGCACAGCAATGGATCAATCAGAATTCTTTCGCAGCACGTCTCCTGAACACAGGCCTCGCCCGGTGGCCTAATTTCGCCGTCTGGGAAGTGCGCGCTGTTCTTGAGGAACCTGCTATGCATAGGACGGCTATGAATTGCAACGTTGCAACGGCGGCGGAATGGATCCTCCACGGTGGGGAGGCGGTGTTCAGTTACATGAGTAAGGACATGGATGAAGACGAGGCCCGTTGGGTGGCAGCCGGGAGTCTATTCCCAGGCAAGTCTGGATCGCTCCGCGAGAGATGGAAGTTCTGGAAGATTCGCTTCTCTGAGGTCAGCCAGCAGGTCGATGAGGATGTTCGGGAACAAGCGATCCGGGCAGTGGAAAAGATGGAGAAGCTTGAGCAGGGCGGGACCTAGTTCACACGAACCTACTTGTACTTGAGCAAGGTTTCCTAGCTCCGCCTTTTCTTGCAGCTGCTGCGTAATTCCTAATTCCTGATTCCTAATTCCTCCTGTCTGCATATGTTCGATATACTCGCCAACTTCTGCTCAGACTGGCCTGAGGACGCTTTCTAGGGAGCCCTATGATTAGTCCACTAAGTATAATATTGAATAGTCTCCATGTAACAGGGTTCGGGTTTCCTGCATGTCGCGAGAAGATGACCACAATTTTCACTACAAGTAATGGATTGCCACACAGCCCGGTTTGCTCACGGGGTCAAATAAGGGTGTTTACCTGGTCGGACGTCGCGCAGGCTACCTCATTCCTCCCAGGCAAAGCTGCATAGTCCAGCAAAGCAGCATCGAGTAGGTCGACTCCCAGTACAGAATAAGAGGACTCCGAATTTGGGCGAGCAACGTTAAGAATCGTACTTAAAATGGTAGTGCGCCAAGACTATGCCTATTGCAAAAGTGCTGCGATTCCTTGTCGCATGCTTCAGAGCTGCTGTAGCTCCTATCTGTTCACTCAAACAGCTACAAAGAGCCATGTAAGGATCTAGAATTCGTGAGACTTATGTTAATGCGTAGCTGAGCTTCTTTGATTCTTTTGATGGTAATTTTATATTAAGAGAATCTTTTTTGATTAAGTATGTTCTCTATATGTAAACTTCAATTTATGAGTAAAAGCTAGCCTTTCCTGTCACAGAGCTAGTAGTTGGTGGGACGTAAGGATGATCAGAGGGGGCGGATGGCTGAAGCTTTGCTGACACAGACCTGTAAGCCCCCCTAAATAACCTAAAGAGGGCCCTAGAAATCTCGAGAATAAGGGGGTCACAGCCAGCAGCTCTAGGGCTCTACCCCTATGGCGCATATTGTATGTGGCGCTAAAGCTTAGATCGAGGTTGCTAGTGGGGCTCTAACTTTAGCGTATATTAAAGACTTTTGGGTATGAACAGCTCAAGCAGCAGCAGCTCCGAAGCATGTGCCAAGGGATTGCAACACTTCTGCAATGATCAGATCCGGTCGCGTAACGCGTTTAGCATACTACTTGTAAGTCCTGCTAAACTGGGGAGTTTTACCAGCATCAATGCTTTCAAACTGGTCCAGGCCCTTCTAAGTAATATCCGTCCTGCAGGTTTACACAGCACACAAAGTCTGGAATCTACTACCTGATGGCGGCGACCATGCATTGCGCCTTCACCTTCATCGATTAGTTCGAGTCACTCCACGACGTCTGTCACTTACTGAGTTTCCTGCTGATCACCAACACCATGTCTGCGGTAGGGAACTTAGTCTCCATCCAAGACTATCGGGATCTTTTCAGTCACCACCTTGCGAAACTGGACATTGTAAAATCGGGTCTTGGGATCGAGCCGCCCTTGACGGAAGTCGATTGCGCTGAGTTAGTGACACTGGTGGAAGCAAAGGCTGTGAACAAGTCTCCTGAACAAAATAGCAAGGCGCATTACGCCGCTGTCGAGACGGTTTTCCGTGAAAGGTTCTACTCTCTGCTACAAACCGAGTCAATCGACGAACCTTCGTTCACAAGAATCTGGAACCTGCTGGATATCGTTGCCATTCTTTCCGATCATGAGCTTTGCGAGCCTGGCCTTATATTCTGGTTGGTGGAAGAGCTGCTAGATAGCCAGATCATCGATGGATGCAGAAGAGTTTTTGACTATCTGGAGTCACGCAGGGAGAGAATCACTGCTGTAGGTGAATCCTTAAATTCTGTCAGCCAGAGCTGATCGGTACAGAAACACTTCGCTCAGAAGCATCTCATCATTCTGAGGTCATGCAATGAGCTCCTACGTCGGCTATCTAGGGCAGAGGATACCGTTTTTTGTGGCCGAGTCTTCATCTTCCTCTTTCAAAGCTTTCCATTAGGCGACAAGAGCTCTGTCAATCTGCGAGGAGAATTCCACCTGGAAAACGTTACTGTATACGACAAGGATAATAAGAAATCAGCCGATGCTATCAAGCCTATGGACATAGAAGTCAACCCTGACAGGACTGTTTCCGAAGCAGGTACACCTGCCGCCGCATCCACTGCAAAAGAAGAAACGCCCGGTCCTGGAAAAGAACATCCAAAGTCTGCAAAGGACGACTCGCCACCGGATCTCGATTCCTTATATCCCATATTTTGGGGAATGCAGGCGAATTTCTCACATCCGATTCGGCTGTTTCAACCCGAGAATCTGACATCCTTCAAGGAAAGTCTTGCTGCCACTTTAGATTGTTTCCAGAAGGTTCACAGTAATATCTTAGCTTCTACGAATCGTTTGGATGAAAGTAAGCGAGGCATGAAGCGCAAGCGGTCAGGATCTGGTCTTGAGTTCTCCAATAGTGTAAATACCAAGTACTTGACGAATAGGGATTTGTTCGACCTCGAGGTGCATGACATAGCTTTTCGGCGGCATATTCTCGTGCAAGCTCTGATCATTCTGGATTTTCTCCTATCGTTGACAGCATCTGCAAAGCTGAAGTTGTCCGATTCCATGAATAAAGCTGTACTTTATCCGTTCACCTTGTCAGAGGAGGATGCTGCATGGGCTCTCAGCACCAAGGCCTCGATTGCAAGTTATCTGCAGCAGGGCAACGGCAACGAGGGCAAGTTCTACTACAGGATGGTTGACACGGTCCTCAGCCGAGACAAAAACTGGGTACGATGGAAAGCTGATTCCTGTCCCAGCATTGACCGACCGCCGGTCAAGGTTGAAGAATACCTCGATGCGCAACAAAGGCTGAAGAAGCTGTGCAGTAAACACGCTCTTCCACCCCCACCGGGCGCTGCAGAGCTGGATTTCTTATCTAAGAACATGATGCTAGACAGCCTCAAGGACCAGGTCAAGCTCTCGATCCCGACTCCAGAAGCCTTCTACAAAGGTATCAAGAACGACGAGCTTGATGCTGAGATGGGTACCCCTGAAGAGATCAAGGCTGCAATAGACGCCAAGCAAAGCAAACTTTGGAGAGCGCTTCGTGCGTCAAAGAGCAGATTCAACCTTTGCGAAAGGATCGATAATGGCAAGAACCTTGATGCTTTGCTGCAAGAGAACATGACGCCAGCTCCCGCCACCGAAAGCGCCGAGCTAATTACGGAGACTGACTGATATCAATCGGAAAGTATACATGCCTCCTAGCAGCAGCATAACTCGGGATGATCGCAGTGGTAGCATTGCGCTCAACTCCTAAACGACAGCCCCCAGCACAGATTTCCTGCTGCAGACCCAGATTGGCACGATTAGTACCACTTGGCCGATGCGCTCACAAATATCTTTGGAGGGGCATGAAGCCATGTGCTGTAATCCGTCAGACCAAGGCCGGCCCCTCCTTTGCCGTTGTCACTTTCCTGACAAGAAGCCGAATCTATAAATCGGTCGGCTGAGTGCCTGAAGGCAGGCAAATGTTTCGCTGCTGACAAAACTGGAGATGAAGAGTACCTCTACATGTGCTTACACCTCGACCACTTATTGGATTTTCACACGTCAAGACATTTAAAACTCGAGCCTGCCCTTCTCCCACCCCTCCAAGATTTTGCCGTTACCCAGCTTCTGCTCAGGGCTACCCTTTCCGACACCATGCTTGTCGGCCTCCAGCTCGAATTCCACAGCAAATGGAAGAACAAGGCCCCCTTCCCAACCATCATCGTCAATGTCAAGCCATCTTGCGCCCGAGGCCTACTACCGTACCGGGATGTCTCAGTTGGTAAGGGTTCCTACATGTGACATTCCCGTTCTATGGATGGGCGTGAAAACCACAACAGCGCCATTTCCCAGGCTGCTCCGCAATATCGCTCACGGGTGTAGCTTAGTCCTTTCAGCCGCCACTCAGGCCTGCCAGGCAGGACGGGTACCAACGAGCCACCCGGCTACATAGTTAATCTAGATCCATTAGCACCTGCACCTCCACAGTGAGCAGCAAACCTAAGTATATCCGGAGCTGCTTGATTTCCAACTCTCCTTCGCCACACTCCCGTACAGAAGACTTGTCTCCGGGCACAATTATATCAAATGGCTTGCTCCAAGTCCCGCGATCGCGACTGAACGAAGCCTGGATGATTTCGGGCGTAATTTTGTCTCCCCATTATCGCGTATTGAATGTAGTAGTAGTAGTAGTAGTAGTAGTAGTAGTAGTAGTAGTAGTAGTAGTAGTAGTAGTAGGCAGGCAAGGATCACGCTGGCTGGATAGCGGTGCTCCCCTTCTCCATCCATACAGAATCTTAGTCAACCAGCTTTCTACCGGCCATTCATTGTCCATGTCCTCGTCC